AAAAGAGTGAAGAGGAAGGCTACTGAAGATTATCGAGGTGGACATTTAGCAACCCTGAACGCAGTTACTTGTAAAATGTAGGGGTTAGGGAGGCCTGAGTGAGAGGCTATAAATTGTGTTCTATTTTGGAAGAATTTGGGGGATTTATCGTTGTTGGGGCATGGGAAATATGGCTTGACTCCTCTTCTTTCTTGTGACTTGGATGTGTGTTATCACCATTTTGATTTGTCAAAGGGGATGCAATGTCAAATGTATATTTTGTTATTGAAACAATTGAACATCTGTGTGAATGGGATCAAGACCAGGCAAAGGGACATTTTTCTACTAGGATTCACCAAGGAACTGTCATGTGAGTGTTCATGACATGAGTAGGATTGTTAGCCATGTGCAAGGTTTTTGCAAATGGAGAACAAAGTTGTAATATTATCAATATTTCTGTATTGATTGTGGCACTTCAATCAATGGAGGTTCTTCTTTAATTAATGAAAGCTGTTGTGTATGGGCTGAAACTCTTTTGGCTGTCAATCCAGGCTTATAAACTAGAGATATGTGGACTCTCGTCAGTCGGCTTTGGTGTGTTCGAGAATACATTTATGTTATATGCAGTGTTTTAGAAGTGGACTGCGTCAACTCGGACTCAACAAGTTGCGAGTCTGAACAGGCTACATAATTTACCTTGTGCACTCCGGCGAGTATTGTAGCAACTCACCCATATATTGTATAACTCAGGCATGACTCACCTGAGCTTCTGTAGTACTTGGGCGAGTTCCTATGGTAGTCAGCCCGAGTACTACATACTATGAAGAAGGGGCAAACACCCTGCCCCCTTTCCTCCCCGGGTTTTTCTCTTCTTTGATTTTGAGCTTTAGGAATGCCCATTTGAGCCTAAAGGTCATCCTTTTCAAGATTATAGCCTGATATAACTGCCGGATACAATAGATTTAAGGGAAAAAAAAAAATTTGAGTGATTTTGAAATTGAAGAGATTGTCAAGTTTTGGTCAATTTTGAAAAATTGTAATTTCTTCTCAGTGGTCTAAGATGAATTTGATTCCTAAGACTATTTTTGTGCTATTGATCCAACCATAAGCTTGTTTTCCAAAATAAGCAAAAATTAGTATTTGAAAGACTTGAATCCAAATTTACTATTCATCCAAATTTTTCAAGAGCTTATATCTCCTTGATCTGATTTCGAAACCCAAATTTGGTTTGGGGTTTTGGATTTGGGTTGCCTGAGTAAAGCTTTTACGAAGATTGGATGCACAGATTTGCATCGAGCGAGAAGATAAGAGGTTCATCCTTGAAATTTTGGCAAGTTTCAACTTTTTCAATTTAAATCTGTAAGTCTATTTTGTGCATGATTCCAGTTTTTATATTTTTCTGATTTTCACTATTTTTCTGAAATTCCCTTGCTTCTGTATTTTTTTAATTGTTGGATTTTCTCCTTTTGTTTTTGTATTTTATACCTTTTTCCATATTTTAACCTTTTTTATGTCTAGTAACTAAAATAAAAATTGGTGTTTCATCAACTTTTTGGCAAATAAGATCAACTTTTCATCATTTTCCATTTTGTACATATTTTATGGTTGTATATGATATTCTTCATTTCTATTGAGATTATTTTTCTGAAATTTTATTAAAAATTTTGGATCTTTCAATTTTCAAAATTTTAGTGCCTTTTTGGCCCTTTCTTTGGCCTAGGTGTGACTTGGGCGAGTGCCAGCCAAGTCAAACAAGTCACCAAGCTCAAGCAGGTGCCGAGTCCGCTACCTAAGCCATGTTTTCGAACACTAGTTATATAAGGTTGGGCTCTGGTGACTATGATGATATATCTCAATTTTGTGGATCTTATTGAGTTGGGAGACCTTTTGTGCAATGTACCTGGCTTCACATGGACAAATAACTAGGCAATATGCTCATGGCAAGATAGATGGTCCTTAAGTTTATAACTAGGCAATATCCTTAAGTTTGTCGATTAAGGAGTGATGACAGATATTTTCAAAAGTTTCTTAGATTGTCCTTTCTTGCATGCTTCTAAGCATGTCATATTTCTCCTGCATATAATGATGGAATCTTGAGGGCCAATAATATTCTGGTTTGAGAATGTGGGTAGGTTGATGGGGTTTAAGGAGTTGTGTTCATGGGGGGTCGTTGACATTCTTTGTGGTATGATTGTTATTTTCAACATCTGCCCAACATAAAAAACAAAAGGAAAATGCATAGCTGGGCAACCTAAGAAAGAGACTCTCGGAGACAGTGGGTGAGGAAATCAGTAAAACTAGAAGTCTAGGGTAAGTTGCACAAATATGAACTGGAAATGGTGGTTAAAAATAGGGAATAATCACAGATAGGAGATCCTTATTGAATGGTAACTAAACCGTAGAGTGAATTACATTCAACTTTGTAAGGTGACCAAAGCGGGAGGGATGGATTTCTCGGTAAAATTGCTGTTGTATAATTTGGTTTCAGCAAAGCTGAAGCAGTGTCTGTAGTGATGACTATTAATCCTAATATAGGAGTCCATAAAGTGGTTGGAGCCCAAGTTCGAAGTGGAGGAGGTGCGTAGTATTTTTCAGTACAAAGATGGGTAGAACATCAGGGCTTCACAGCTTCATGTTAGCCTTTTACCTGGAATGTTGGGAGTGATGGTTGAGGATGACATGAAATTGTTTTGAGGAGTTCTACACAGGATTGGGTATAGTCTGATATTATACTACCATAACCACTCTTTATCTAACATCTAGAGACCCTCCTTGCATATGTTTCACCTTTCGGTATCATATTCCTGTCTTAAGGAGATTTTCTTTTTTATTCTAGGATGATTTTTTTCTCTTGGTAGTTCATTGGTAGGATTGAACATGGTGTTTAGGTGAAATGTGTCAATTGTTGCCTGGATCAATTGACCTACTTTTTTGAGACATGTCTTCTGATAAAAATAAAAGCAACTCAAAAACATATTAAAAATATTTTTGATACCGGAAATTGAGGAAATTCTACGTGGTATTTGCAAATCTAGCTTCAGAGGATCAAGCTGACTTTTTGAGCTTTGGCAATGTCTTTTTGGAATAATTTTGCAAGGAAATGAAATCGCTTGTAGTGCTTTTTCCTTGTCCCATTTCCAATATTGGATATATTCATTGCTTATTGTCTAAACAAATTATATTTAAAGTTCTTGATGGAAAAAGGAATCAGATAATCTTTACCTTATTTCTTTTCTTTTTTCTTTTTTTTTTTCTTTTTTTTGGTTGGGTTTCTTCCAAAGGCAGAACAAGTGAGAGAATGAAAGGAAACTTGCTGACTTCTACTCAAGAAGTATTTTGGGTACGCTAATGGAAACCTGATCATGTGATGACACACTATGTTCATTTGCGTAATCGAAGAGAACTTAGTCTTATGCTAAAAAGGTCTACTTGGAGGTATTGCTTGGAAGGAATTGTTAACGTAAGCTGAAACTATTTTGAGTTTCTCATCTATCCAGATCTCTAATGGAATTACATTTAAGTCTGAATTAGTTTTCTATTACTCGATGATCTAGCTGTGTAAACTAGAGTGCACTGTGGAGTATGAACTGAAATTTTATCCATATCTCTCCATTCTATCTTCTCAGATGAGCTGTTGGTAGAAAGGACCTATGGCAATTTAGGTATGAATTTTGAACTTTCAACTTCAATCAACTTGATTTTGGATATTTTGAAGAGCTTTTGTCTTGAAACTCAACACGTTAACATTCTGGACCTCTGTTATAAGCTCTTTCAACAACCTCAAAGTCTAGACCTTGACATTTTGATTCTTTTATTTGAAATGAAAATATTGATGGTTCTCTGGAATGTTGGGCCATGCTTGAAATGATTTGGCATTTGGTGAAATCCAATCATGGAATTCGTCTATATCCTCTGATTGCGCAGGGAGACCTAAAGCCATTTTGGATGTTATCTGTTTGTTTTGAGTAAATTTGCCAAAGTTTCCCTTGTACGTTCAAACAAGATGGATATGGATAGTTGCTTTTGCCTCACTCTGAATGAAGTGTGGATTATATCCCTCCCAGCAATTATGGAATTTCATTTGCTTTGGAGTTTCTTCCTTCATGGTTAAAGTTCATAGGGTTGAATTTACATGGAAAATGGATTGAAAAGGCATACAAAGTTTGAAAGTATGCCTCTTCAATCCTGAAATAATAATTTGTATGGAACGATGCCAATGGAATAACTTAATTGATGGAGCTGCAGTTCTGCTTTAGTGCAGCTCTGCTTTAGTGCAGCTCTGCTTTAGGCTGTAATTTACATGCATTCCCTTGCGTAGTGAAAGACTTCTAGTTATGTAGGAAGTAGTTTCCTTTCAGTCACTATTTGTTGATTGTTATATTGATCTTTTTTTTCTTTTTCTTGTGTTTTTTCTTTCTGATTTCCAGGCTATTAATTTCTGTTCGATAATTGACTTGGTCACATTGGCTACAAGCCACATGCGAATGGCCACTAAATTGCCAATCAAGAATGTTTTAAAGAAATGTTATCCAACAAGAACATGGGGTACGGCCAGATGATTTTATTTAATAAAGCTTTCAAAAAAAGGAATGCCTTTCACTGCTTTTTGTCTAATCGAACTTTGAATTTGTCCAAACAGAAGCCCTTGTTGCTCCATCCTCTGGAAGACAACATGGATCTGAGCAATTGGGAAGAGGGCCTGTTACAAATGACAAGGCACCTTTGCAGGATGACAAGTACCCAGTCATTGCCTTCAGTAAGCCACCATTGCCACCTTTTCTCGGACCCCTTTTGGTGCTCTCTCTGTTAAATACCAATTCAAGTAAAGAAGACTAGAAGCAAACTCATGGACTCCTCCTCACTGGGTATTACTACAACTCGACCTTTTGTTAATATTCTTTCTACCATCATAGGATGTATAAAATGTTTTTTACTTTGCTCATCCTTGGAACATTTCAAGGATCTTGTCTAATGTGGCCATATAATAGGCCTGATCACACGTTTTGGATTTCTAAGAGCCATTCGACTGCAGCTTATGTTGTATAAAGAAATTTTGTTCTCATCCCTGAAACATTTCAAGAATCTTGACAAATAAAGCAAATATGTAGCCAAAGCTGTAAGCGAACATGCTCCAGAGCCTTTTGTAATATACCATGACAGGATAATATAATGGCCATATAAAAGGCTTGATGAGCCTGCTATAGATTTTTTTGAGCCATTCAACTGCAGCATATGGCCGTTCTAGGAACCCTGTAGAAAAATGCACCATTGGTTGTTATTAGATTGTGTTATTTGGAAAGCTTTCAATAAGAGAAGTACTAACATGAGGGCTTAGCACACACTTTCAGCTATCCATGGAAAGTGGTCGAATAGAAAAGTGATTATTTTGAGCTGTTTCTGCAATTCATGCCAGTGAACAGCTTTAGTAATCTAGAAACCCCAAAATGGCAAATCAAGAGGGGTTCTGTATGCAAAATTAATGGAGTATTTGGTTTAGAATACCAGTGTTAGATCCCCTGGTTTGAATGGTGATTCATTTATGCTTCTAACCCTCCTGCAAAATATTGTGTACCTATTATGATTGATTTGAATTTACAAAGAGGTGAGGATGAGGAAGATGATAATCTTAGTACCTGATGACCAGTTTTTTACTCTTGTAGTCGCATTCATAGAAATTGATTCCTTTGGTGAAAGGAACCACTTTACTGTTCCACTCTGCAAAGCACGATTCAGTCCCATCAATTGTTGAAGCTATATACATTAAAGTGCCTGTTTTTGCAATCTTATTTGTGAAAATTTTCAAAAAAAAAACTTAGTTTTCTGACATTCTCAAATGCTTGCGCCTAGAATATTCTGTGTCTCAGTAGTAAGTTTATAGAAACCAATATTTGAGGGTAAAAAGAAATTCTGTCTACGATTTGGTAGTTTCCCTCTTTCTTTCAAACTTCCATTTTTTAAACATTTTGCTGGCGATCTTGAAAATTTTTAAAGAAAAAACAAATATATTTTAAGTTTCTGTCTAGAAAATAGATTTGTAACTCTGGCAATAATTGATGTAATTCATGAGCATAAAAATGTGTGGTATAAATAATACCCAGATGCCACATCACACCAACTACAAGTTGGTTTCCTTCCACCATGCTTTCAATGACAAATTTCGCCTTCTTACCCATGCAATTCATCAGCTTTACTAGGAATACCTTAACTTCCTGGTAATGGGACAAAAATCAAAGTTTCAGTTTGAGATTTAGGTACAAGGGCTTCACTTGACAAGGGCTTCTAAATTCAAGTAAAAGCAAGATAGAATGGGTACATACCTCTTTTCCTTGGAGTGGCTTGTAGAACGATAAGTCCTCGTAGCTGCAGTCGTCTGAAATAATTTGATCAAATTCCTTAGTGTTCCTATTATTGATCATCTCATAGAAACAATGGATCAACTCTGCAGGGGAAGTTCCTCTCCAGTCACTCTCCGAGTCATATATTCCCTGATCTTTGGCCTTGCAAATTGCTTTCTTTAGATTGCTTGCATGATCTCCACTTGAGTATTTCCAATGATTTCTTCTTGTCAATGAAATGAAATCACAATTAGCCGATTGTAACTTACGACATGTTATATTTTGTCTTTCCCTTTTCACATGAAATGTGTTTGAGATTGCATCGTTCCTATTCATATGAATGGCAGGTGGAGAGGATAGAAAACTGGTTGTTGCAGTCATGTCTGAAAGCAATGGAGTGATCAAATCGCATGGTTAGAGAGTTGATAATGAGGGGATGGGGGGAAATGAATTAGATGTAGTCAGGCACAAAAAGAAAGGGAATAAAGGGGTTTCTTGAGTGTGTTTGTATATGTAGCTTGAGGTGAAATCAAGGAATTTGCAGACAGCTTTAAAAGCCAAGTGCACAGTTGATGGAGAACATGGTTCTTGACTTTCTGTTGAATTCTCAGCATGCATTGCCAAAACTGACTGCTATAGTTGAGGGATAATGGATATCTTGGAATTTGTTTGTTTGATATGAAACAGTTCAGGTGTTTGGTGGTCTGCAAAGCCCGACAATGGCATGAGGCTCTAACTTCCACTAGACACTGGGGGAAAATTGACAAGTCCTGGATTAATGGGGAACCACTGGCATTTTTCAACTGCCCCTTGATTTAAATGTCTTAACTTTTGAACCACTGGCATTTCTCAACAGCCCAAACACACAAAATTTAGGTACATGGGTACCAAAAAGAAAGGGCATTTGGGCTGTTCGAATTCAAATTTTTTAGCCGTTCTAAAAAAAAAAACGAAAGGCCCAAGTGTTCGGGCTTTTCGAAGGCCCGACTTTCGAACAATTGAAATGCCTATTGTTTATTTAGTGCGGTTTGTATAGAGCTGAGGCTCTAAACAATCAAAGTAAAGTGTACCTTCAAATAGTATCTAGAAATTTGGTTTCAATACCGGAATCTTTGTGATAGTCTTAAAATATATTTTTATTGTTAATTATAAAATTTAAAGCTTCAAAAATAGTGTAGATCGAGCAGTTCCATGAAAACTTGAAAATTTTGAAAATTGACTGTCTAAAAATGTTGTAATGCACTATTTGCAAAACTTTAAAGGTTGCGGTTTGTATAGAGTCGAGGTTCTAAACAATCAAATTAGAACCCACATTCAAATATTGTCGAGAAATGTGGTTTTAATATTGGAAATTTTTGACTTGCCTAAAAATATATTTTCATCTTTAGTTATGAAATTTAAAGCTTCAAAAATAGTATAGATTGAGCAGAATCTATGAAAACTTAAATAACTTAAAAATTGACGGTCCAAAAATGTGTGACAAAATGCACTATTTCTAAAACTTGAAATCCATTTTTTTTCTCAAGTCCATGCATCTTGATGTTGAGATGATCAATTTGAGGATATTTGAGCATCAAAACAACCTCTTTGAGTGAAATTTTTGATGTAGGCTATAATTTGATTGTTTAGAGCCTAGGCTCTCTATAAACTTTTCTCAGCTTTAAATCCATTTTTTTTCTCATGACATACATCTTGATATTAAGATAATCAATTTGAGGATATTTGGGCATCAAAACAACCTCTTCTAATGAAATTTTTGAGGAGGGCTCTAATTTGATTGTTTGAGCCTCGGCTCTATATAAACTTTTTTTTTGTTATTTCTGACAACTTTTGTATGGGGGGTGAATTGGGAATGAGGATATGCAAATATTTTTGGACCTCACCTTAAAATATCCAAAGGATCATTCTTTAAGACAGATATTGACTTTGGGGTTTGTTTGTGAATTCCTTTTATTTAGAAAAAAAGGAAAAAGATTATATAAGTACAAGGCTCGAAACAAACAAATTAAAATGCACCTTAAAAAATTCACGAAAAGATGTCATTTCAATGCCCAAAAATGCTCAAATTGATCTTCACGACTTCAAGATGCATGGACATGATAAAAAATGGATTTTAAGTTTTGAAAATAGTGCATATGATAATGTCTTTTTGAACTGTCAATTTTCAAGTATTCATAGATATGCTCGATTTACACTATTTTTTAAGCTTTAAATTTTTATAATGAGATGAAAAATAAATTTTCAAACCACTACAAATATTTCTGATACTGAAACAACATATTTCGAAACCATTTGAAGGTGTGCCTACTTTGATTGTTTAGAGCCCAGACCCTATAGAAACCACACCCTTTAAAAAAAGGGAAAAGTTTATATAGAGCCAAGGCTCTAAACATCAAATTTTAGCCTACCTCAAAAATTTCACTAGAAGAGATTGTTTTGATGCCCAAATATCTTCAAATTGATCATCTCAACATCAAGATGCATGGACATGAGAAAAAAATGGATTGCAAGTTTTGAAAATAGTGTATTTTATAATGCATTTTTGGGCCATCAATTTTCAATATTTTCAAGTTTTCATAGATATATCGAGCTATACTATTTTTTAAGCTTTAAACTTTATAAATAAATATGATAATATATCATAAGGCTATCACAAAGATTTTCAATATTGAAACTACATTTCTCGACACTACTTGAAGGTAGGCTCTAATTTCATTATCAATTGGATGGGGTTTGTATGAGGCCGAGGCTCTAAACAATCAAAGTCAAGTGTAACTTCAAATAGTATCGAGAAATGTGGTTTTAATGCTAGAAATCTTTGTGATAGCCTTAAAATTATTTTCATGTCTAATTATAAATTTAAAGCTTAAAAAATATTGTAGATTAAGTAGATCTATGAAATTTTGAAAATTGATGATCAAGCAATGCATTACAAAATGCATTATTTCTAAAACTTGAAATCTATTTTTTTCTCATGTCCATGCATCTTGAGGTGGAGATGATCAATTCAATGATTTTAGCATCAAAACAACAACTTCTAGCGAAATTCTTGAGGCGCACCTTAATTTGATTGTTTAAAGCTTCACACTCATATAAACTTTTTCCTTATTTAATTTGGCAAATATTTGGAACTCTTTAGGCATGTTGACATGCGAAAATAATACTATATCCACATACTCTCTATGGGGATCATGTGCTATAAGACTATTTAATTTTGGTACAACAATAATGAAGGGAAGTTACAAGGAAACAACAATAGAAAAAACAGTAAAACATACAAAAGCCGGAAGAAAAGGCGAAACACTAAGAGGAGGTAGCAAGCTTAGCATGAAGATCTACATCCGAGTTGCAGTCAAGGTGCAAAAGATATAATTTTGTTCTTGAGGCCAATTGATAGCACCACAATCCCAACATCCCAATTTCATATTCAATGGTCAAGAGTGATTGTGACTTTTTTGAATTAAAAATAAATATTCTTATTATATATCTTTCCATTTGTACAGGAGTGGCCCTCCGACTTTCTTAAGATCGACTCCAAAGCAATAAACTACCACATGAACAATGTCATCTATGCCCACTCAATGTCTCCCCGATTTGTCTTGAAAACAAACAGTGGATGTCAAGACTTTGGTTTGTTTTAAAAGGGAAGGTTGGACTAGGTGTGTTCAGAAATAAAGCCCATTATAGATATTAATTTTGGATTCAAAATTTTATATATCCATCACTTGGAACTGAAAAAGAGAAATGATTTGGAGATCTAAAAATAGTCCAGCTTGTACTTTTTTGTGTTGTTTATTCCAGAGAGAGTAGATTTAAGTGGGCTAGTCATGTGTGACACCGACCAAGTACAACACCTATTAAGAGGTGCGAATTAATTCAAGTGCAAGAACTGAAAAAGGTAAAAAGTTGGCCCAAAAAGGCGTGATTGAAGTAGTCCAAAAAAATATAGAGATTTATGGCCTCACATAATAGCACATAATAGCGAACAAAGATTCATGTGACCGACCCTAACTAATTGGAAAAACGCTAAAATGATGACAATCATGATTTCAGTTCCTCAAAAATTTCTGATCTTGGATTTGTAGAGATAGATGTTAAGAGACTTAAATTATCATCATCAATATTATATATTTTTTCAACTATTTAGGGTTGGCTCTTGCTTTACCAAGTTATAGGGCTTAAATACCCTTAAAAAAAAAAAAAAAAACAAACAAACTTGGACACATGGCCGACTTTTCTTAGTATTCGTATTTGGAATGAAGTATAATAGAGCGTGTCTCTCACTCTCATATTTGGTATGAAGTATGATTAAGCCCCTCTCCATCTCAGACCGAAGATGATGCAGGGGATGTCTTAAAACGTAATAGGAAAAATAATAAAAGAAATCCCTGAGGCTTGTAAAGAAAGAAAAAGATAGCGTACAAAAAAGGGCAAGAATTTCATCATATGGCGAGCAAGCCCTTTATTTTCAGCACATTGAGTACGACTTCTGTAGAACTGTATACACTAATATCCACTGTTTGATGTGAATTGGGTGGCTATGGTTGTGTTATTAACCGGGCAAAAAGTCTAAAATAAAATTTCACAAACTATGCGATAGACTTCAAGCTATTGGATTTTGCATCCGATGGCTAAATATGATTGTGACTTCCTTATAGCAAAAGTGAATGAAGTTATCTTATACAATTCTATTTATCATTATTCATAAGAAGTTAGTATAGTTGTCACTAATGCTGCTAGCATAGTATGTAATTGTGCTCAGATGTCGAGGCTAATTACATATGGATGCGGTCTGTATAAGACACAAGCCCTAAGCAATCAAAGTATGGTGCACCTTCAAATGGTGCCTAAACGTGTTTCAGTATCAAAATCTCAAGCAGATCTATGAATACTTAAACATCATAAAACTTGACGGTCTAGACAATACACTCCAAGATATACTATTTTCAAGACTTGAAATCTACATTTTCTCATGTCCATACTTGTTGAGGTCGAGATGATCGAATTGAGGGTTTTTCATCATTGAAAAAACCTCTTATAATGAATTGTTGATATGTGCTTTAATTGATTGTTTAGGGCCTCACCCTTATATAAACTTCTTCCATTACACACAGGTCGACTTTCTTCAAATAAGGTAGCATAGGTTTATTTGAACATGTATAAACATAATCAAAAGATTGAACTGGGATGTGGTTAAAGACGAATGAATGGAAGTTCCATCCTAGATAAACCAACAGATTTCATGATGGGGAGCGGCAAGAAGGGAGCAGCTAAAAAGTGTGTGTATGAGAGAGAGAAATTTGTTCTTTTTAGTGTTCACTTGTTCCTTTCCTTTCATTCC